AACCAACGGGTTCTCCAAATCAGTCTGAAAATCCACCAAACCAACGTCGTAATCCGATTGATGTCGCCATACTTGGTAATTCGATGATAAAGTTAATTAATCCTTCTAAATTACGGAAGAGCTTGAAACATAACGTTATGGTGAAAACGTTCTCCGGCGCTAATGTCGGCGATATGCAACATGCTAAACCGACGGTCGAGAAAAATCCTAAATGTGTAATTTTACATGTTGGTACTAATGATTTAAAACATTCAATTCCTAAAGAGATAGCAGTATCGATATCTTCACTTGGAAAACGGATAGAGGAGAACTCGCCGGAAACAAAAGTGGTTATCTCAGAAATAACATCGCGATTCGACGATTCAAGCCTTATGCCCAAAGCCCCAAAATAGAAAATTTGAATGCCAGATTGAAACAGGTATGTCACAATAACAATTGGGGATTCATAACACATAAGAATATTAAAGCAAATCATCTGAATCCGTATGGTCTACACCTGAATAAGCAAGGCTTTACAAAATTAGCAGGAAACTTCATCGAGTATCTTAAACATTGTAATTGACAATTGATTACTAATGTTCCAACCAATGCGGAAGAAATTAAAAATAGCACTAATAGCGCAGCGTCACAGTCCAGCGCAAGCTCTCCTTTTTCTAAACTTAAAGGCTTTAAAATAGGCCAGATTAATATAGCCAGTCTCGTAAAACATTATCATGAACTTTTAGTATATATGCAAAGCAAATGCTTTGACATCCTAACTGTCAATGAAACTAGACTTGATAAAAGTGTATGTGACTATAAAGTTGAGATACCGGCTATGATATTATTAGATTGGATCGGAATCGAAATGGTGGCGGGGGTTGCAATGTTTATTCGTAAAAATATACCTTATATTATTAGGCAAGATTTAGTTCCTGACTCCATTGAGCTGCTTTGTATCGAGGTGAAAAAGCCAAAAAGTAAACCTTTATTAATTGCAACATGGTATAGACCACCTAACTCTCGCCACGATTTATTTCATAAATTTGAAAATTTCCTAAAGCTAGTTGAAGACGAAAATATGGAAATCATTATAACTGGTGATCTCAACTGTAACTTTTTAGAAATGCCAAAAAGCCAAGTCACATGCAAATTACAGCAGCATATTAAAATACCAACGAGAGTTACCCCAATAACATCTAGTTTCGTTGATGTTATCTTTACCTATATGGGGGATAATAAAACATTAGAAACAGGAGTCATACCGCGTGGGATCAGTGACCACAATCTTGTATATATATATATGCCGCAAGATTAGTCTCCCAAGAGAATTACCTAAAATTGTCCTATCTAGGCAATACAAGAGATACAATGTGAATGCGTTCAATCATGATTTGAATGAAATTTTTAATTCGTATCCGAATGCTTCAAACGATCCGAATGAACTTTGGAGTGATTTTAAAATCAAATTTCTTACTATCGCGGACAAACATGCGCCAATTGAACAAAGGCGTGTGAAAAGTGAATTTAAACCGTGGATTACTAGCGAAATTAGCCGACTGAGTTATCACAGAGATTATTTAAAAAGGCAAGCCATCCGATTGCAATCTGTCTACTATGAAACGGCCTACAAAAAAGGTAAAAACAAAGTAACTAATCTGATTAGAACTTCAAAAGAGAGTTACTTTAAGTCCAAATTAAATAATTCTAACAATAGCAAGGAAAGCTGGCAATCTATTAATGAGCTTCTGAATAAAAAATCCAAGACTAGTCAAATAAGGGAAATTAATTTTGAGGGCGAAACTGTAATAAACGACGAGAAAATTGCTGCCGGTTTTAATGAATATTTTTCAACTATAGGTAGTAAATTGTCCAAAGGAATTAAGGACGGTGACATTGATCCGCTAAGCTTTATGACTGTTACGCATGATGACATATTTAACTTTAACTTCATTACTATAGATGAAGTAATTGATGCGCTAAATCTCATTCAGTCAAAAAAATCTTCAGGACTGGATGGATTTATTGCAAGACTGTTATTAAAAGACGGAACACACAATATTGCTGGGCCATTGGTTGATATTTTCAACCTGTCATTACGGACCGCTATATTCCCTGACTACTGGAAGTTAGAAAAAGTAACACCAGTTTTCAAGGACGGTAATAGGAATGACTGTGGAAATTATAGACCAATTTCTGTAATCTCCGTTGTTGCTAAGGTATTTGAGAAATTGGTATATATATCAACAGCTAAAATCCTTTACGACAATAAACAACGTTCTTCTGGACCAGCAGTCGGGTTTCCGTTTTCAACATTCCACGGAAACTACTCTGCTTAGTTCTACAAATGAATGGTTGCATAATATGGATAGGGGCCTCTTTACTGGAGTCCTATTCTTGGATCTTAAAAAGGCATTTGATACTGTTGATCATTCAATTCTATTAGCTAAATTAGAAAAATATGGCATCCAAGGGAAAAGCCTTGAATGGTTTAAATCGTACCTCAAAGACAGAAAGCAGGTTTGTTCAATTAATGGTAAGAAATCGTCTGCAAATGATATTAACTGTGGGGTTCCACAGGGATCGAATGTTGGTCCCATCCTTTTTCTTCTTTATATTAATGATCTCCCAAATAGTTTGAAAATGTCAAAACCTTCAATGTTTGCTGACGATACAAATCTAACCTGTGTTGGACAAAGCTCGAGTGAAATTGAAACCAAACTTAATGAAGAGCTTGAGAATGTCCACCGATGGCTAACAGCAAATAAACTTACTTTAAACGATGAGAAAACCGAGTTCATGCTCATCGGCTCAAGATCACGTATTGCCTGTGTCCATAATAGCCCAGTATTGAAACTAGGACACAGACATATAAAACGTGTATACTATAAAAAGTCTCTAGGTATGGTCTTCAATGAGCAGTTGAAGTGGGACAAACACAATGAAGTTCAAAATTCAAATAGTATAGCTCTGCTAAAAAGAGCTAGACCTTTCGTTCCTAGACACACATTAATTAAAATGTATAATGTATTTGTTTTGCCTCACTTTAATTACTGCTCTACAATATGGAACGATGGATCTTGTACTATAATTAATAAACTTTCAAAATTAGGCTACAAAGGAGAGCTGCGCGTGTAATTACTTCAAGTACATGCGATATTCGTTCCTCCCAAATTTTGAAAGACCTTAATTGGAAACCAATTGAAGATGACTTAAAAAATAGGGAAACTGTTATGACATTCAAAGTTTTAACCGGGCAAGGACCGGATTATTTACAGCAATTATTTACTGAGTGCAATAACGATAATTACAGTCTAAGAAGTAATAACACCAAATTGACACTCCCAAAACCAAGGACTAATTCTTTAAAAAGAAGCTTCTCATATAGAGCGGCAAAGTCCTGGAACGAATTATCTAATGATATAACTGAAGATTTCTGTGATCTATCAGTTAACGCTTTCAAACGGCGACTTGATAAAACCGCTTAAGTGATTGGATCATTTGATTATACATTAATTATACTTTAATTTAGTATTGTATCATGGTAAATAGGATTTCGTTTTTATTACACGGCCCTTTGAAAACCAGTACCTTTTGTAAATATAAAGCTAGTTTTTAATAGTTACTGAATAGGCTACCGTGTGTAAAAATTTTGATTAATAATAATAATAATGGAAACTTTATTTATTGATTATTAGGATAATAATAATAATAATAATAATAATAATAATAATAATAATAATAATAATAATAATAATAATAATAATAATAATAATAATAATAATAATAATAATAATAATAATAATAATAATAATAATAATAATAATAATAATAATAACCCTACCAGTACTAAATTTCCATGCGCAGTTTTTTGCGCGAACTACATATCTGCTTTAATATATATTAAATAAGGACAAAATTAGCTATAGACAATTAGTATAGGAAATTACACGGTTCGAAGTACTAATGAATAAAAAATCGCACACGTGTTTGGCTACTACACGCACTTCACCATGTAAAACCTTCGCAAATCCGCATGCCTCAGAAGGTCAACATTTCAACAATAGAATATGTTTTATTGAACAATAGAAATGTTTTATAGTACTTACTCTCGATGCTGAAGAGCGGTGTTTTCTTTATGACTTCAGCACGTCAAAATTTTTATCATTTCCCACGTTATTAAGGAGGCTCCCTACAGTTATTCTTGTTTACGCAATAATTCCGTAAAACAGACTTATTCGTGCCGAACGCGAATTCTTTTCGACTTGGTGGCAATATTGGTCACCTAAGGAATATTTCGAACTAGATTTTGACAACGGCAGTGTTCCAATGGCAACATGGCGACAGCATAAAGCCTTCCAATTTAACCCATAAATGTGCCGCTATCTCAAAAACGATGTTGGTGTCCTATTTTTTTATTTTATATACTAGATAATACATGCATGCAGAAACCCTCGCCTTGCTGACAAAACCATTATATTTTCCGATAATTTTTAAGAATATTCTTTCAAATGAAAAATCGCCTAAAAATATCACTTTTAATTACAAAATTATTAATTTCCCAACATATATATGTTAGGTATGTTATTATACGTAATATAAGCCTCAAGTTAAGGTAAAATTCAACCACAAACGCTTCTCAAAACGTTTCAAAGTCACTATAGTGTTCTTTATAAAACTAAACTGCCTTTTAAAATTCTCGCTTGCAAATAACAGTGCTTTCTTTTTTATTTAAAAAATTCAATATCATAAAAATATAAAAATAAAATCAAGAAATGTTTGCTATTTCGCTGTCGTCATGCAGTCGTTATAATGCAAACTTTAAATTGGACCAATCAGTGTCCTCTATTCATGACAGTCCGCCATTTGAAATCAGTGAGGATGACCACCCACCCAACACCGTTGGTCACTCACGCCCGCGATAATTGATGAACTTTAGACTTTGCTAATGCTTTCGTTTCCCCGGGTGTAAATAGCCGGGGGGGATTAGTACCCTAGCACGGCGTTTCGCGCCGTCGGCTCGGGGATCAATAGGGAATGATTCTTTGCAACTGTAGTGAAAGTTAAGTGTGTGATTGTAGTGTGTGATTTTTTTAAAAGCGAAGATTTTATTGCGAAATTTCCACACGAAAGACTTAGATTTACCGCAAAATAAATTCGTGGTCAAAATTTGAAGATAGGTCACCGATGAAACCAATGAGTAAAATGCAAATAAAGTTAGAAAATAGCCTCGTGTAACACGAGAAATTCCCCTTATTGAAAAGCGTTGCTGATATATATATATATATATATATATAATATATATATATATATATATATATATATATATATATATATATATATATATATATATATATATATATATATATATATATATATATATATATATATATATATATATATATATGTATATATATATATATATATATATATACATAAAATACACTAAGTAAGTTATATTCTATATTTTAAAGTACATGTTTAATTCAAAATATAATAAAATTATGGAGGAAATAACTCGCGTTCTGGTTGGATGCTGAGAATACATACATACATTATACAGTTCATTTTCAGTGAGCGATTACATCAAGTTATATACATGCACTTACTTATATATAGGCCTACTATAGAAATACATGCATGCAGCTACCCCTCGCCTATTTTCCAAACATTGAGTGAACGTTTGAGAAACGTAACAGAACACAGGTTATTTATGACAACACGATATTTATAAGTTTTAATTTTTTTATTTTTTTGTACAAAGCGGCAAAATAGTTTAAATAGTTTGTGCGCCCAAACCTGCTTGGTGGCCATTTTAATGGCGGAATTGGGTAATAGATGTTTCGGTTTTCAATCTGATTATTTTAACTTTTTTATACCAAAACTGCACCAAAGAAATGTTTATAGCCTAATCGTCAATAGTTTGTTGCTATTTTTCACTTCCGAAGGTAATATATAGATAGTAACTTTTCCATTCTCAAAAAACTGCATTTTTCAAGCATAAAATGTTTACGTTTTAAAATATATTAAGCTGCGATAGGGGAAATTTCCCTTGTGCAGTAATAGGAACACGCTTTTCAACCGGTCAACGATCGCGTGCTATAAATGTTATATTATATAAATAAAGCTTGAAAGTGGAGTTCATTTTATCGTAGTCCAATTGCTGTTCCGTTCGCCTCAACCCAACGATCACTGGATGTATAACAACCACCTGCCCCGTAATGCATCTCAGTTAGGTAAAAGAAATTACTAGGTATTCTTTCTGTTAAAACCATTCCAGTGTTTCTCCAATCTACGGCAACCCCTCGGGTTTCGTACACCAGGTCATGGTCGTGACTCGTACTCGGCTTCTGTTCACGATGGTTTGGAAAGAAGGCAAAGTATCTGGTAATCGTGCGAGAGCCAGGATTATATTTCACTTCCATGTAATTGGATAGGAATCCGTTCGCATAAATTGATGTGCTCAGATAGAGATAGTCTAACATGAACGAATTTTGAGGGCTGCTATAAGTAATACCAGGCCCTAGTAAAGGAAATAAGATTACCAACACAAACATAGTTTTTGTAGAAGCTTGAGAATTTCTACCAATATACAATGATTCATAATCCTAAATTTGCATTTCCCCTATCACAAGTTCCTTTCGTCCCCAATACCACATCTATTCCCATTACAACGATAATAGCCATTACTATGGTATTATCACGAATGATAAAAACACTGGATAGAAAACCCATTATCACACACACATGATGTCTTCAGCGTTTTAATCCTGTTGAAAATTATAAGATCACTAAATCCAAAATAACTCCTTGTTTAGTAACAATAGTGCAGGGCACTTTAGTCAAAAACGTAAGAATTCAATCATGTCATTTTACGACGGAATATCTAAATATTATAATATTTTTATTTGTGGAAACACCACGTAAATTTATAACTGCAAAGCTTTCGATCCGCAATTAGCCCGGATCTTCATCAGTGCTAATAATATGTGAAATCTATAATAATAATAATAATAATAATAATAATAATAATACATATTATTAGCTCTGATGAAGATCCGGGCTTACGGATCGAAATCTTTGCAGTAATAGGCTAAATTTATGTGGTGTTTCCACAAACAAAACTATTATATGTTTTATCGCCATGCAAACATACAAAGAACTTATCTAAATATTGTTGAACAATTTCAGGGAACGTTTCAAGCATTCTACGGTATTAACAACGCGTCACAAGTTTTAATTATATGGACAATAGTTTTTGTGGCGCCAATATATTTCTTGATTATGAAAACAAAAAACTAAAACATAGACGAATGAAATTGACCTCGAATGCTTTGCCATAGCACAGGCAGATTTAAATGACAGAGAGACCATTTTTAATCTCAATGTACATACTTGAATGCGAAAAATATAGGGAAATGGAAGAAATTAAAAATGCAGTAAACTTTACTATATTCGTTATATTCGTGACTTCATGAATTTGAAACAGGTCACGTCTCCAAGCATCAGCTGTCTCCTACTAATTTTTTTAGATATCGATGGTATCACATCCCCCTTTATTCAGTCCCACAATCACTCGCTCGTTTTATCGTCATCAACTCCAAATTATATTAACAGTTCACCATCTGCATTATCATCACCATCATAATTGAATTCCTATTACGTTAATTTCCATAACAATATTTTACTATTATAATAACACTTAAATTTTTAATTATTATAATAACACTTATTTAATAATTATTATAATCTATTATAAATATCTTACATAGAATAATTCCAAAATCGCAATTCTCATCAATCTCTACCACTATAATTACCACCATAACACTAATTCCATGGCAATTTTCAACCATCACCACCACCACCATCCCATCCTTATACCATAAAGGCGGGCGCAATGTAATTTTTTGAAAAACCTGTAATTTGTGTTCCCTAAATAAAGTGTTTCTTATTATTTTAATTATCAACACTTACAAAATTACACTGCCACTACCATCCCAACCATCATCAGCAATCGTTATACCATAAAAATGTGCAGCAATGTAAACAACTGGGAAACCAATAATTTGCTTTACTCAAGTAATTTAAAGTGTTTGTTATTATTTAATTTTTTAATATGGACACTTACAAACGTACACTGTCACTATAACCACCATCACAAAGCACTACCATTTTAGCGCATATTTCTATAGCAACCCATTTTCATTTCCAAATGGGTCGTCACCACTAACTAAGCAATGTAGCTTTCAAAACCATATTTACACAAACTAACCTGAGTTTGTATTTTGCAAGACTATTAAAGGCGTTTGCGGTTGCTCTTTCAGTTGTCGGATGTGGGTGTGAATCTGACTTCCATTTTTCTTTTGAATGTACAGAAGAACTTCAGCGTGGTTTGTGAAAAGTTGTGATACAAGGTTGGGTAGGGTTCCCTTCTTGACAGCCGACTTGGGGATAAAGGTGAAGCCTCCACCATGGAGAACCATTTCACAGTATACTGTCACCACTTTGTTGTCAACAGAGATTTTATAAAGTCCACTTGTAGCCCCTGCAGATTTTGTCAGAATATCTTTGCAGGAAATTGGTGGTTTCTAAAAATGGAAATGTTTTCCAACTTTAAAAATATTTATCGTAATTTCTAACAAGCCCCCCGACTCAAGTAAGCTCTACTACATGCATTCTATCAATCGTGGCCGAATTTTTGTAGAAATGGTGGAGAAGGTGGAAAAGCTTTAGGGGAAGTGCAGCGGTTTAACTCAAGGCCTCTATGGAAAGATAGACCTTATAACGTTCCACAACCCCCCCCCCCCCACCTACCTATAGTCAACTGCATGAAGTATTCTGCGTGCCGCATATATAAATTTAAAATTGCCCAAAATATGTGCGCACAACGATAATCTAAATCGATATTTAAAGTAAGTCGCTTGACACGTAAGAAATCGCATTGGAAATCGGCTTAATTATTTTTTTGATTGTTAGTGAACATTTTACAAGATAATTTGCAAGTAAAATTTTGTAATTGCCAATATTCTCGTGACTAAGGAGGATACAAGTAGTCATGGTAACAGACAAGAATTCAGAAAAGTTTTTATGAATAAAGTACTTGGTACTTTTTGAGATCTTTCCTAATTTTACTTAAAAAATGGGTACATGCAGTGAGGATAAATTAACAATGGTCATATTCAATGCTCTCAGAGTGCACGAAATGGCATTTCCAGGCTTCAAATCCAAACATTTTTCCAAGGGTCTACACAAGGTCTTCCAATAGGCAATTCCAGCTTTCAGTTTATGCCTGCAGGGGATAATGGGAAGTAAGGTATCATATTGCCGATTTTGCTGAAAATTTTCAATAAAAACTACCGAAACAACCGAAATATTTCAATATTTGAAAGTATAAGCTATCACTCCGTGTTTACACGGCCACCATTTTTATTCAAGGTATCAATGTGATACCTTACTTCCGATCGTCCCCTGCACGCATAAACTAAAAGCTGGAATTGGCTATAAGCTACGGTCAGATTTTTGGCCTGGAAATTTCTAAACAAAGATCAGAATGATTTTTATAAAATTAGAGGAATAGTTTATTACAAGATTTAACACGGTTGGTTATGAATGAATCTGCAGTCATCAAGAACTTGAAAGATACCGCTACAAATATCTGTATAAAATATCTCAATTTTTTTGTTATCCATACGCTTTAAAACTATTTATTTGACTTTCACATTCACTCAGGCAATGCTGCGATACGGATTGTGGTCAAACAACTGTCAACAGAGAAGCGTGTATTATTGCTGCAGTTAATGCATGGGTATAAGACTTTCGTTATAAACAACAAGACGACACCGGCCTCAAAATGGCAACTTTCGTGTTGGGTGTAATGTGTATAGTAGAGAAGTAGATATAAATACAGGCGTGTACTCCGGCTAAGGGCAGCTCAACCTGGCAAGCCAGGCCCACTGTAACTATGATAATCAACTATAAACCGTAAATAATAATGGGCCGACAGTAGCGAAGAAATTATATAGTCCTTGATTTTTAAAGCCATTCTATGGCTCGTTATTGACTTTAATTTATTAATCCAGCATGTCAATTCAAGTCAACAAGGTAATAATGGAGAATATTATATGCAATGTACTACGATAGGCCAATTCTTGATCAGAGACTCCCAATTTCAGCTGCTAAAAAGTTCATAGAGATAGACGATTCTTCTAAAAAATACGCCAATTTGCTTGCATTTATAAGATAAACTGATCCCAACCCCAAGCCCTTCTCTAACCCCAACCAGTAAACGTCTAGAAAACAATTTGAGAATTAAAAAAATTGGGAAAAAATTTGGAGAAAGACACAAAACAGTCGATCCTTGTACCAAAAATAAATCGAACCGTACCTCGTTTCACTTCGATCGCCGCACGCAACGCCTTCCGCGACTACGCTATCACCAACCTCGCTCAATACAATCGAAGAAATATATTTTTATAGCAATATACATCTATTTCAATTAAGGTTGTCCACGAGCTAAGCGGAAAAGTCGAATACGAGCGCGAAAGGCTGCTGGGAATCAATAAAAAATTTATGTATTTTCATAGCGATTCCCAGCAGCCTTTCGCGCTCATATTCGACCTTTTCGCTTTGTCGGAGACAACCTTAATTGAAATAGCTGTATGATAAAATGGAAAGTAATTACGTGCAAATTACTGTAATTAGGTCCAATTCCATAATTATGTAAATGAATACAACGGAAGTTTATAAGTCTACAACGTAAATTATTTATAGTTGTTTTTACATTTTTTTGCCTAACCGGAATCGCAGGGCCGCATGTCCGATTCCAGCCAGATGACCGATAGTTGCATTTTTCCCAGTTGCTCCTGGTTATAGGTGTAAAAATTGTATATAATCTTCTGCTTGAAATTTCTATGTACAGAAACACTTATAAGCATATTCTGACTTTACTTACTCTTTTGGGTTGAAGTAGTATGTAGTGATCAAAATTTTCATCGTTCTTTAAACTCTCTGCTGGTTCTTCTGAATCAACAGATTCGAGTAATTCACAATTTTCTTGTCCTTCACAAGTTTTTCTGAAGTTAGCAGATCTGCATAATATCTCTTGAAGCCTGCATTGTAAGATGCAATCCAGTCCAGACTCTGCGTGAACATGTTTGATCACCTTAGTGTCCAACCGATAACCTTTTTAACGGTAAAATAAGTAGAAGAAACAAGGTGACTAATTTTGAAAAATAAAAAACTAAAACAGATTGATCCTCAGTTGGTTATCTACCGAGATTTGCATGGTCTATGTCATTAGTATAAAGAAAGAAATCTATTCTTGCATGGGTTGCATTTGACGAAATTGAGACCATGTTGTATAGTAACTTTTACACAAGAATCTCATTAGCTGCTATTATATTTGGAATGTGTTTTCTCTATAGCATGCATGGCGCAATATCTTTATCTTATGAATTTCTCGAGATTGATTGCAAAGCGGAAACCGCCAATGTATATGGTTCGTGTAAGCATTTAACCTCCGGTTCGGTTAGTCTTCATTAATTAAGAAGTAGAAAACGAGTCGCGTGCATTTATGATGTGATAATGCATGCGTTTTTCTCCGTATTTAAAATATACTCACTACACATGCAAATTAACAGTCGCGTATGTTAAAGCATTATATGGACTTTAATTTTCTGGTGAGTTCCAATTAATTTAGGGCCTGTTCATATGATCCAGGCTGGCCCGCTAAACCGGACTAGCTCGCTTTCAGCCAGGCCAAGTTGTTATTTGTTTCACATTAGGCGAGCTACCCCGGCAAGCGCTATAAGAAATTGCCGTATGACTATTGGCGGGAACGCGAGATTTGTTTTAATTTTGAAAAATGCTATTTTTATTGATGGAAACTGCTTCAGAAGTTTTAATATTTTTGATTTCTTACTTTTTTGAATTCTTAGATGCTTTCCATAGATAGAAAAAGCATGTGACAAATTTGCCCGCTAAGCGTGACAAATTTGCCCGCTAAGTGTGTGATATGAGCCCGAGAAGACGGGATCTCGTCTCACTCAAGCGGGAGCCTGGAAAACCGGCCAGCACGGTTCTCATGTGAATTAAATCTCAAAAACATATAAAAACAATATTCGAGGCAAGATTTCAGCCCGGTCCATATGAATATTGTTACTGTTATCTTAGCTACTATTAATTGTTCAATATAAAAGATGTTGCAGTATAATGCAGTATTAAAACAGTCAATATGGTGTCTCTTGCATCCCTATTTCACATAAATTTTGCAAGTCTTGGCTCGGATAGAAATTTCATATTTAGACATAAATTAAAGAACATTTATATATAAGTTTTTACACTGGAGTCAAATAAGCAAATTTGATCATTGTTTCAGTATAAAGTAAATATTTTCTCCAAAAATTGAATAGACTGAACTTCTCATAATTAAATTTGAAACATTTTACTCAGAATTTTGAGCCACGCATGTGCATTTTTCAGTTTATCAAAACCCACCTTCTTTAGATCCGTCGAAGCAAAAGTTGAAGCCTTCTCCAAAGGAATGGAAGTTCAAAAATATGACGAACCAAAAATTCAAAAGGATAGGACCAAAACGTAGACTCCAGTGTTTACAAGGCTCACGACGAACTTCTTTTGCCATGTTCTGTTGTTGTCGACGAGATGTGATTTCGGTTTAGAAAATGCGTCCTTTGGCAAAACTTTTTAGTCGTTTTAGTACATACTCTATAATGAATACCTAAAACAGACAGTATTTTTTAAGCAGCAAGACTTACGCCTGTATTCTAAAGTTCACTAAAACTTACACTCAAAGAGTGGAGGTTCAATCTCAGCTTCCCTTTAGTGTCAGTGCAGTTTTTGAATAGCTGGAGGGTTAGTGCCGTACCTTACCATGTGACTACACACTCTCCAGCAGTTCATAAACTGCACTGACACTCAGATTGAACCTCCACTCTTTGACTGTGACCGTGAGGAGTTTTTAGAATACAGGCGTTATTCATGTAGCAATACGTCGACGGATATGAATATTTAATGACGACGCTATTAGGCATAGCGACAGACCATGCTCTTTAGATGGCTTATTAGCATATAGTCTTATTAGCATAGATGGCTTATTAGCATATAGGTCAGTTGCCATGGCTAGCTCACAACTGATATACATTAAAATTTCATTGAAACTCGAGAATTGCCTGCCATAGTTGTAATGCTGCACAAGAGTAGAAAGTCATCAAAGAAGTGCCGTAAATTAAGTGTTTAACCCATTGAGTTGCATGGCACCCGGATGCACCCTAATTTAGTATTTTACCTTCCCTAACGCCAGACGATTTTAGTCGTCAAGGGGAGAGCGCTGGAGCTTAATGGGTTAACTGACCTATCTGCCCATTAAGCGCCAGCGCTCTCCCCTTGACGAGTAAAATCGTCTGGCGTTAGACAGGGTAAAATATTAAAGTAGGGTGCATCAGGGTACAATGCAACTCAATGGGTTAATATTTGTTTATTTTAGTAATTCTCTTTGAAAACTCATGAAAAATAGCAGTTATCTTAAGATCAGCAGGTTCAACATTCAAACGTTTTTCTCGACAAGTTTTAATTATTTGCTTGCGTCGAAAAGCGTTTTCTAGTTATAAGATGTATTTGAGTCAACCCGCAAAAATGTTCAAATATACTAAATATCCTTTTAAAAAAGTATACATTTTAAGTGCACATTTAAATTTTTAAGTACACATTAATATTTTGTTAAAATGCCGGCATACTTTTTTTGGCATAATATTAGTTTTATCTCAATTTTAGCTCAACATGCTTTGAAATTACGCAACGAAGAGCATAACGATGTTTCATAACTTTACAGTATTAAAGTCCGAGCATTGGAAAGAAATTACAACTTCTGTGGCAAAGTCTGAGCGAGAGCGTTTCCCAGTTAAGAGAGCATTATGAGGTACAGCTTTCTGCATGAGCGAAGCTGAACGTTTTTATTAACGATAAAAATACAGCTCATCTGAAAACCTTGCTTCATTACTGCTTGGGGCAAGCAAAATCCTCCTGCGCTAGTAAATACGTCTCAATTGAAAAGCTATATAATTGATATTATCGCAGATGCTAAGCTTAAGCAAATGACGTTTATGTCTTTTGTCAATAATATGCAAATTTGAAAGCTAAAGAAAAATAGAAGTTTTTTTTAAGATCACAGGTTCAGCATCCAAACATTTTTCTCGACAAGTTTTATTTGCTTGCGTCGAAGAGTTCTTTGAGTCAATTGGCAAATATGTTCAAATATACTCAATATCCTTTACTGGCTGATAGTGTCAGCAAATATTAAACTAATGTTATTTTCATGGTATACAATTTAAGTATACAATTGTATACATATACGTATATACAATTTAAGTACACATTTCAGCACAGATCTTTTGTTAATTAAAGTGCATATTTTTTCCAGAATAAGATTAGTTTTATCTCAATTTCAGCTTAATAGCCTATGCTTTGAAATTACGAAACGAAGCGCATAACGATGTTTCATAACTTTACAGTATTAAAGCATTTGGAAAGAAATTACAATAACTATGGCTAAGTCTGAGTGAGAGCGTTTCCCAGTTAAGAGTGCGTTATGACCACTAGCTCTGTATTCCTTTTAGCAAAAATGTCGAAAATATGGGAAATATGAGAAAGCATGCAGGTACAGCTTTCAAAATGAAGTTGAATATTTTTATTAGAGCTAAAAAAGCCCAGTACATCTGAAAACCTTGCTTCACTACTGCTTGGGGCAAGCAAGGGACTGCTCGGGTAAGTACCCCAGTACGGCAGTGGTTTACTATTTATTTATTTATTATAGTTATACTATAGCTAACTTATAATGTTCGAGTACAAATAAATGTATTTATATATACATATGCGAGCATAGATATACTGTAACAGCCGTTAAATGTTGCAACACCATATCTCATCTTCCAATCTAGAGTTGCTGAATTTATGCAGTTTTTGCCAGCATGATCTAAGACAAATTCGCGTGAGATCCCTGTTCCCCAAATAAAACGTAGCCAGTTTGGAGCTAAGAGATCAAAACAAATATATCAATTTGTCAAAAAGCATGCAAGTGTATCCAACTTATATTACAAAGTGCTTGAACACAACCTATATTAAAAAAAACTTACCAAAACTCGACAATTCCTCCAAAGTATATATTATTATTTCGCCAGTAGCCAAACTTGTCTTCTATTCCAAAGAACCGATGATAAGCTGGAACGCAACAGGCATACGCTCTATTTAGCATTTTGTTTATTTTCAACACCAGATGATTTAAAAATAATTAAATTCAACATAAATTTTAGCAACTTATCAAAGCTTACCGAAACACGAAACTCATCGGAATCCCTTGTCGCGTTTTACTGAGGCCAACGGTATAAGAACACGGAACACACTATAAGCGGTCAGCCGGTACTAGAACATCACATTTACCACTAAGTGCAGGCGAATAAGTACTAGTGTCGTGTTCGCTTATTGGCTTGCATAAATTATTTATTCCTGCACATGCATGCTAATCATGCACAGGTTCGTAAAGAGCACTTTAAATGTCGATAATAAAGCAATTTAGAAAATACATTGTTTTAGCTCCATAACAGGTGTTTTTACCCAGCCATGGAATAGACTAAAATATTAGCCAGTAATCGAAATACATTGAGGATGAATCTGTATACGCTTTTTAATCGGAATCGATTTTTTGGAGCAGGAACTGGCTTCCAATCGCTGCTAATCTTCTTCTTCTTGTTAGGGGGGCGACGCTCTTTGAAAAACCCTAAAGGCTCTTTTCCACTCATCGCAAAAACAGCTTGCGACAGCTTGCGAGTACTAGCGAGTAACTCGCAGCGAGCTTGCGAACACTCGCACCGAAGTTAAATAATTTGAACAATATTTTCTGATCGCCCGAACAAAGAGGACTAGTAGCCAATGGAATACGTTGAAACTATCACGTGACTGCCATCAAATATCACATGGGGAGCCCACAAACGTTATACATACTTGAGACGTCTTCACCTACGTCGTCTTAAATAAAGTAAGAGCAAAAGGCGCCTATTAAAGCGTCCGCCATTTTGCAAAAACGTAAATTAGTCACGCGAGATGATGAAGTGTGGACATTGACCTGCGACCTTTCGAGTTCTATTGTTTAATATCAAGCAACACAACTCATCTCCGTTGTTGATTCAATTTAATAATTACATTTTCATATATATATATTAATTTCCAGACCACGCCCAAGCAAGCAGAAACATATGTCTGCCGCGGCTGGGTTTTGAACCCGCGATCTTCGAATCATTAGATCGACGATCTACCAACTGAGCTATATATCTATAGATATATCTATATATATCTATATATATATATATATATATATATATATATATATATATATATATATATATATATATATATATATATATATATATATATATACAAACCTTTTTTTAAAGTAAAATGATAAGACCCAACGTTCGACACTACCGTCCAGTGTCTTCATCAGAGATGATCTAAAGTTGCACGTGACTTTTTAAATACCCAAGGGATACGTCACCTGCCAATGAGATGCATGTATTCCTCTGGCAAATACGTACCGTCATCCCTATTCAGAGCATAATTACTATATATATATATATATATATATATATATATATATATATATATATATATATATATATATATATATATATATATGTTTCTGGTAATTACTTCAGAGTTTCCCACGCAATCTTGTGTTTGCTGTCACACACATATTCTGCTAAAGCTGATTTTCCGTCGTTTGAAGTTGAAACAGCCTTTTGATGTTCTTTTAGCCATGTACCAAACTATCAACTATGGAACTGGTTCTGGTCCTTTGTGAATAGTCCCACATATGGAGTTTCAGGGTTTTTTGCGAAAATATTGTCTCCTGTGGTAGGAAATACCGAAAACACTGTAAAAAATTCCTGTCATTTTGCAGAATTTGTAAGAGGTAAAACTCTTAAAGCAGATCAAATGTTGTTGTTATTTGATGTCGTTTCCTTGTTTACAAAAATCCAAGTTGATCTTGCCATCAAGGTTGAAAGACTAAGACAGGATGCCACTTTCTTGCAAAGAACATCCTTGCTTGTAGAAGATATTATTGATCTTCTGTCTTTTTGTCTCAATACCACATACTTTGTGTTTGACGGCTGTTATTATCAACAGGTATTTGGAACAGCGATGGGATCACCAGTATCAGCAGTAATTGCTAATTTAATAATAGTGATATGTCGAACAAAGAGCGTTAGCCCCTGTTCCGGTATCTCTTATCGTTTTGGAAACGTTTCGTCGATGATTCATCTCAGCGGTTTCTAGAAATGAAATCGATATTTTGCTGCAACATTTAAATTCTATCGAGCCGTCCATCCAATTTACGGTAGAACGTGAGATAAATGAACATTTAGCCTTTTTGTATATTCCATGTATAAGCCTACCATGCGGTGATTATACGAGAAAGATATTTGGGTCAGTCTAAACGCCACTTTGGTATACGGCTAAAAGAACATCAAAAGGCTGTTTAACTTTAAACAAGGGGAAATCAGCTTTAGCAGAACATGTATGTTACACCAAACACAAGATTTCGTGGGAAAACTCTAAAGTAAAAACTACACA